TATGTATTATAAATGAAAACATTAATTTAAAACAAAACATATGCAAAATAATGATCAAGTGTGAATTTAAGAAAAATCAGGTCTTCAAATATAAAAAGACCACTCAGATTTTTCAGCATCTAGACAGAGTTTGGGTGTAATTTTATTTATATTTAAATGTCCCGCTCAATAATTTTTATTATTAGTGTATTTTGTTAATCAAGATTTTAACAAAACGAATTTATTTCTTAGTTATGGAAATGTATGAAAATACTTAATGAAATAAAATTTCCTGAATACCCCAACATCTCAATGGCATTTGAGAACAGATTACTTTACAAAAATTTTTTAAATCTTTTTAAAATGAGTTTAAGGTTTTAGGTAAGTTCAAGTATAAATTTTAAGAATTTATGAGCCTCTCTAAAGTCTTTAAGATCTAGGTAGACTTTTAGAGGAAGCACTTTTTTGTAACTTCCAAATATTAATTAATATTTTCATATAACTAATTATATTTTTTTAGCATGAAATTATTATTATTATTAATAAAAATCTTTGAAATGCAAATAGCAATTGAGATACATAAATGTATTTAAAGAACATAAACAAATCAATTGAAGAGCGAATACATGCACAAAAGAATTAGACATTCAAAACCTTGGCATAATTCAAAAATAAACATGATTATCATGCTAAAACAATTATGCAAAAGGATGATTAAATATTCTAATCCCTTAATCAAAGTTTTTTTATGGTTTTTTTCTTATCCACCTTAGTCTTATTACATTTGTTATTATATTCCTTAGACCATCTAGTAACCAATATGCCAAAAATTGATCCACCCTTACATCCATCATGCCAAAAATTAATCCACCCTTACAACCATCATGCCAAAGAGAATCACAAGAGAGCTAAGCTACAAGATAATGGTGGGTCCATTTAGTATGTGTAACATTTTTTCATCCATATAAGACTCATGCACCAGTTAAGTAAACAAAAGCATGCTAAAAAGTCAAGTAAAACAAACATAGAGATGGAATAATGTAGTTCACGTGAGGCTTGCTTTACCTAAGGCCTATTTTCAACTTTTCATTTTTTATGTAATCTCTAACAGGGACAAGTCAAAGACTCCATACAAAATTAGAAACCAAAAAAATAAATAGGAAGATTGAAGCTTTAAGAGTTGTACAAGAACCTTTACTTAAAGACAATAAACTAAACGAGAAAAAGAGCTCATTTCCACATTAAAAAGTAAAAAGTTGTGAGTCTGCACCGTGATGTTTTATAAAACACAAAGGGACCATAATTGAAAGCCACCAGCTTTAGACTTTCGGCTTTCACCTTTCTATGTTTCAAAAGACAACATCATGGTTCCCAAAAGCACTTGGTCATGAACTCTTTTCATCATACCAGTGCAACCAAGTTTCATGCAAGGAAAAGAAGCTAAAGAGGTGCTGAAACTTCTTAGACAAAAAAGGTAGTAGCTTTTATAAAATTTGGATGGAAGAAAACAACCAAACCATGATTGCACATGGGAAGTTGAGCATCACGGTTTGGGTTGTCCATCTTTTCTAGGTTTTTTCCTACTTATTTTCAACTTATCCTAAATAAAGGGTGGCCATAGAAAATGAAAGACCAAGGGCTATTAAAGCTTTATGAGGTAAGGCCAGTTGATGTAGCCATCATTAGAAGATCCATTCGCCTATACCAAAAAAAAAAAATAGAACTCCATCCCTTTTACAAGAAAAAATACAGAAACATAAAGCATGTAAAGCTTCAAACTTTATCAACATTCACACAGAAGTTACAACATGTAAGGAATAAGTAAGAACTTTGTAGAAAAGATTATGGCTGGTGCAAAATGATGTAAAAAAATAGTGATATAAACAGCAACATCTGCCTTTGAATAGACTGTCTCACCTTTTTGTATTTTTTTTATTTTTAGCTTTCTCTCCATTTGTTGAATTACCTAAAGCTTCCTTCTTCTTCTTTCCTTTTTAACTAGCCAACCTCCCTCTCTGTTTTATTCGGTAGCCCTTCTTCTTAAGAGAAAGATCTTAATCTTGATTAATAAGGGCCCTTGAATGAAAACTCATACAAGGGCTAAAGTTTCTCTTTTTTATTTTTTTCAAGGAGCCACCTTTGGCCTTTGGATCAAAAGCTAAAAAGATTCAATGGTCCACATTAAACACTATGAAGGTTGAATTTTTATACCCCTCAAACTCATGAAAAGATCATTTTACCCATAGTGCAAAATTTTGATATTTATGGTCATTTTCTTAGAAATCAATGTTTCCAAAGTCATTTTTTGGATTTTAAAGCATAAAAAATCATAAAAATATTATGAAATTAAGATCTGAAAAGTTTTATGAAAATTCAAACTTGAAAAAGCCAAATTATGAAAATACTTTTATAAGGGTATTTTGATAATTTTACACTTTCTAGGGTACTACTATAATTTCAAATGCACTAAAAATCATGAAATATTATGAAATTAAGATCTAAAAAGTTTTATGAAATTTCAAGCTCGGGAAAGCCAAATTATAAAAATATCCCTTAAAAGGTATTTTGGTAATTTCACCTTTTTTGAGGTACTACTATGGTTTCAAACTCACCAAAATCATGAAATATTATAAATTGAAATCTGAAAAATTTCACAAAAATTCGAGCTCAGAAAAGCTAAATTACAAAGATACCCTTAAAAGGTTATTTTGGTAATTTACCCTTTTTGGGTACTGATGTGATTTTAAATGCATAAAAAATTATGAAATATTATAAAATTAAAATCTGAAAAGTTTCATGAAAATCTGAGCTTAGGAAAGTCAAATTACGAAAATACCCCTATAAGGGTATTTTGGTAATTTTGTCTTTCCTAGAGCATAATAAAAATTTTAATATTTCAAAAAAATCTTAAATTCGATTTTAAACCACATTGATTTCAATTAGGTTTTGAATTTAAAGAATTGACTCAGGCTTTCATCTATTTTGATCAAGTTTTATGCAATTTTGACTTTGTTTGATTGAATTTTACTCGAGTTGATTTTAGATTTCTGAATAGACAAATTTGTAAGCCTTTTATGGTCATAAATGGTTCGCCTAAATGGTCTTAGCCCATGTTCGCAAATGAGCCCCGAATCAATAATGTTGTAAAATGTTTCAAACAAATTTTGGTATTTATAATAATAACTCTTTCCTAATGTGTTACGACACTTTTTTTGATTTTATACCAAATGAAACTCATTTTACATTACCTATTTGTTTTTCAATTTTTAGCTTTTTTTTTATATATCTAAAAATAATAATTAGTTAAAGTTTTGCATTGCCAACATAATTATTTACACTACAATAATTTTTTCTTATGGTTGTTCTTTCCTTCTATTATGTTTAAAATTTTCATAACTTTTTTTTAGCGCGTTATGACATTTTTTACCAATTTTACGCTAAATAATACTAATTTTACATTTTTTCACACTTGTTTATATTATCAATTTATTTTTTAATTTATAGCTATTTTCTTTATATATACAAAAACAATAATTAATTAAAAATTTACTTTGCCATAATAATTATTTACTTTACAATAATACATTTTCGCATTTGTTCTTACTTCCTTATTTGTTTAGAATTATCATAATTTTTTTTTAGTGTGTTATAACATTTTTTACCCATTTTATGTCAAATGATATGAATATTATGTTTTCTCTAATCTATTCACGTTATCTATATTTTTTATTTATCAGATATTTTTTTTATATATTTATAAAATAATAATTAATTAAAAATTTTTGTTGTTATCTTAGTTATTTATGTTTCAATAATATTGTTTTACATTTATTTTTACATTTCATTAAGTTTAAAATTATCATATTTTTTTCTTAGGTGTTACAACACTTTTAATATATTTTACGCTAAATAATATAAATTTTACGATTTCTCTCATATGCTTATGTTAATAAATTTTTTATTTTTTTCTAAAATATCATTTATTTTTCTTTAATTTTTATTTTTGAATGTATTTTTAACTATTTTCTTATATATAAGAAAATAATTAATTTAAATTTTACATTGTTAATTTAATTATTTATGTTAAAATAATTTTTCTAACGTTTTTTTTTACATTAAATTATGTTTAAAATTTTTATAACTTGTTTTTTTCATGTTAAGATATGCTTTTCCATTTTACATAAATTGATATAAAATTTATTATTCTCTCATTTGATTATATTAATAATTTTTTATTTTTATTTTAAAATATAAATTCTTTTAAGTTAATTTTTTTGAAAGAATTTTTAGATAAATACTTTTAATTTCTTTAGAATTATTTTCTATAATATTTTTAACTATTTTTAAACATACTAATTATATTAAAAAAATTTAAAAAGAAATATTTTTAATTATTATATTTTTATTTCTCAGTAATTTTATAAACATGTAATTAAGTGAAAAAAAATAAAAAACGAACATTAAGTGAAAATTATTTAAATTATATATAAGATTTTATAAATTTTATTTTACAATCTCATTATTAATAAGCAGGTTTTACTATTCTCTATTTTAAAATTTAATTAATAATTGATATTTAATTGTATAAATTTAATGATTATTATTATTTACTGATTTTATTATAAGACTCCGCGAGGCATTGGATTCGCCCCCTAATGAGTGGCCTAACCCCAATATATTGAAAACTGCCTTTTGAGTAGTTTTTGTTGTTTGAATTTGAACAACAAACTGCATTGGGCGGCTAGGGTTTTGATCAAAAAATATCCTACCATTTTTTTTTTTTCGCAGAATGGGTAGAATCCATGAAGGAAGGAACAGAAGGCCTTAGTTTAAAATTAAAACCTCTATGTTCTCTTAACATCTCTTTTACCACCAAGTCAAACGGCTTCGCACAAATATCTTACCATTTTAAAATTTTTTATTTTATTTTCTGTTTGACCATAGAGTAAGTTTTCATAAATTAGTCAATTTTTTTATCAAATAAAATATAAAAATATAAATTATTTTTTAAAATAATTTCTTCAGTAAAACAAAACGGGTTACAAGAGGCTTTAGAAAATAAAATTTTTTTGATGAAAGCCCAAATTATTTGCCCTAAGAGCAATAAGTTTTTAGCGGAGAGGAAAAGCCGAAGCGCCTTTCCATCCCGTTTTCTGTGTTCCCAAGTCCGTTAAGCAGTTGTTCCTAACACCTGACCTAGGTCTCTCCTTGGTACGAAGAATGAGTAGCGAGGGAGCGTAGAAGGCTATAAAAGCGCCGGCTGATTTTCTCAAATCCATTAGGCGTCGACCCGTTGTTGTGAAGCTCAATTCCAGAGTCGACTATAGAGGTCAGTCTGTTTTGCTCTTATTACTTTCATTTTATGCAGTTGACTGCCAGAACTATGCTAAAAACAAAATTGTAAAACATATGAGCTGAACACCTAGGCCTGGTTATCTTGTTTGTTGTTTTGATGTGGCTGGACTAAGTTTGAGAGAACAAATGGAACAATGGGATGCTTCTTGTACTGCTATATCTTTCAGTAGGTATATATGCCCCAAAATTCATTGGTTTTGAATATTTTGTAAATCATTGCTGCCATAGCCATAGCAAGACCTGGTGATCTGTGTATTCATATCACGTTTTACACAAAAATTAGTTCTGATAATCCGCATCCACACAGAAAACAAAAATTCATTTTTTGGCTTGTGTCATATTCTTACACGATTTTTGCTAAAATTTTATCAGGTGTCACCCTTTCTTTTATTGTTTTCTTATTGTGTAAGCATATCGTCTTTTAAATTGCTAGGTCTGGACATAGTCATAGGTGATGATCTTTTCATTTGTGCTAAAAGAAAATGTTGCTTCTACATTGCTTCATCTGTATTTTTTTCCTGCAACAAGTAGATATGCTACAAATTATTTATGGTCTATGGCATTGGCAGCAACAGTAAGAATCCAAATTTCCACAAGTTCATCTGTCAATCTCGATAACCAAACTATACATAGACAGCGAAAGATTGAACCAAATCAAATTTCTATAGAAATCAAACTATATTTGGAAAATTTTTGGTTTGATGTTTCCTTCAATTTGAGCATAATTTCTGCTTTTAACAATCCTTAAATATTTTCCTAAAGTTTCTACATTCAATGTAATTTAAAGGTTCTGATAGTCAAATAAAAGATGCAACTATTAAATTGATGCAAAAAAAGCATAAACCAAAACTATTATTGGAAGTATATGCATGCTTGCTGAAATATTTATTTTAATATAATTATTATAAAGTAATAATATTTTTTTTATTAAATTTTGATTTCAGTTTGGTTTAGTTTCAAAAATATTGAAAAGCTGACAGCAACCAAATTACCAACTCAGTATGGCTTGGAAACCAAACAAAACCAGAAATTCACTCTTCAAACTGAACAAATGAACTGATTTGTTTTTAATTTTTTGGTTTGAACCAAAAAATGAACATCCTAAAGTAAACAAATCCCTCACGGTTCCCTAAAATAAAAGAAAGAAAGAAGCATATTACTAAAGTATAGATTTAAGCTTTTGATATGTATGATCTTGGGCTATGCTGGGAGGTAGGGCCTCTCCCATGTAATAATCCCAACTCCTCCATCAAGGGCTGAAACTTGAGACCTCCAAAGTCTCAAGTCCTTACCGCTAGAACGTGTATGTGTGTGTTTATGTTGAAATCAAAATATGTTATATAACAGTAATATGTTATTATTACTATTAAGATTTGCTTTGGTTCGTTTACGACAATGTTGAAAATTACTGATTTGGTTTGATTTTTAAACCAAGCCAAATTAGTTTATAAGGTTTTGTTTTTTGTTTAAACTCTAAGCCAAGCAACAAACACTGATAAAGCCTTCAAAAACCTCCTCCATCCTTAAAACAAAAGTAAGAAAGGAATGTATTCCTTGAACTCATTAAATAATGACAATTTTTTAAAGAAATATTATGAGAAAGTTATTGAAGAATAATGCATGGTTTAGCCATTGATATTTTTCAAATTGCATTAAAGTCAACCAACTTTTATTTGGTGCAATCAAGCTAGTAAATAATCTTCATCTGTTCAATCATCATATAAAATTAGCAAAATATGTGCAATTTAAGAAATCCAACCTTTTGGTGAGCCAAATGGTTATTAAAATTAGTGATAAGGAAATTTAAACTTAAGAATGGTGTCATGGAAAATGATTTTTTTCTCCCTTTTTTTTTCCTCTAATTTTCATTTTCCTGCTCATAATGTTCACATGACCATCCAATGGCAAGCTCCTTTGTAAAACCTATCTTCACCATTGTAACTATCACTACAACTTGAGCTTAAAGCGCCTAATTCTCACCTTATATGTATTAGCCTCCACCCCTTCTGCAACTATAAAAACAAACCTACAAAATCCAAATTTAACAATCATTTTTAGCCCCTAATTTACATCTCTCTTTACTACAACAAACCCACTATTATGAATTCATAATCTTCTTCATCACCATTATCCTTGGTCTTCTCCTCTTTCCACCCCATTGTGTTGAAATAAAGCTCCATGATAACCTCCATATCTCTTTTAATTCTTCTTGAATCAAAATTTCTAATTGTTACATGTTATTTCTTCCAACTATTTTATCAATACCATGAGCAATTGAGAAAATGAGACGGATTATTAGATATAAGATTTTGGTCTTTTAGATGAATGAATGTGGAATAGAGTTTTATCAATGGCACTACTCATAATGAGATTGATTGGATTGTTGCAAGGATTGAGAACCTTTTTGTCAGCAGTGGGATTTTGTGTTAAGGATGATGTTTTGATCATAAATTTTTCCAACTCAAACATTTTGGTGTTATTTTTTGCCATTAACATTTTAATCTATATTTTATACACACACACACACACATATAAAAGTGAGGATATTGTAAAACTTTTGATTGAAAAATGGACATTTATGTTCATTATATTTCTACATTACCATTTTATACTTTTTTTTAGTCAATTTATAAATAAGAATTCCAATTTCATCAAAAAACTTTTATTAAATGGATTTATTTGATAAATCAAAAATAAATTTTATATTGAATTGCTTTATCTTTAGAATCTTAATTTTACATTACTTGTGAGAAAATACTTATTTACAACTGGTTGTAATATTGTAATCTGTATATTTGTATTTGTATCTCTAGAATTAAGTATTTGTATTTCTAAAATTAGGATAGACAATTTCTCAATTATAGGATTAGTTTTTTAGGAAGATTTAATTTCTTAGTTGAACTCCTAGTTTGTATATAAACCTAAGATTCTTATATAATTTTAAATAAGCAGTTTTTAAATATACATTCAGTTTTCACACTGATTTATTTTGTTAGTTTTTTCACATGGTATCGGAGCTTTAGGCTTTTCTTGGGAAGCAAAATTTTCAGCCTTCATTGCTGACTTCTATTTTAGGCCTTCATTATCGAACCCTTTCAAAGAAAGATATCACTACCACTCAATTTGAGGAAATGTCAACTGAGAAAATCACTGGAGTACTACAGATCTCTCAGAACAAGGAGAGTTCGACAGGGAAGAGATTGAAAAACTAAAAAACTTACTGAAAATCCTTGAAAAGCTTACTGTAGTATGTTCTTTGGGAAATGTTTCTAGTTTAGGTAAAGCTTTCGGTTCTCATGGATTAAATGTCTCGGTTAAGCCTATTACGAGTTCTTAGTTCATTGACTCAGGAGTCACAGATCATATGAGACATTCCTTACAAAAGTTTAGTACATATAACCTGTATCCTAGTAATAAAAAAATTGTTGTTGCAGATGGTTCACTTACTACAGTGACATGATTAGGAGATATTCAAGTTAATCCCTCGTTTGTTCTAAAAAATATTCTTCATATTCCTTGGATTGTTTATTAATCTGAGATATTTATACAAAACTTATCAGAGATATGAATTGTAAAGTAACTTTTTATCCCTTTTATTGTGAATTTCAGGACTAGAGTTTGGAGAAGATGATTGGATTTGCTAAAGAGAAGGATAGACTATACTATCTTGAGATATCAAATAACACAAATAATATCAAGAATAGTTTATATTTGTCATTTCTTTCTAAAGAATCTTTCAGTAAAGATAAAATCTAGTTTTATCATTTTCTTCTTGGACATCATTCGTTTGGAACTTTGAGAAACATGTTTCTTTCTTTGTTTAAAGGATTAAATGTGAAAAATTTTCATTGTAATATTTATGAACTTGCAAAGCATAGTGTGTTTTTTTCAATCAGTAACAAAAGAAGTTCTACTCTTTTTTGCTTGATTCATAGTGACATTTGGGGTCCTTTTACAATTTTTAATATTTTTAGTACGAGATGATTTGCTTTATTCATAGATGATTGTATCAGGATCTCTTAAATTTTTTTACTTAAATTCAAATCAGATGTGAATAATATATTTTTAAGCTTTCAAAACATGATCCAAAATCAATTTAGAGTGAGAATCAAAAGATTTAGGTATGATAATGCAAGAGACTACTTCAATCAGAGTCTATCCACTTATTTTTAAAAAGAGGGGATTATCCATGAGTTATCTTGTGTTAATACTCCATAGCAAAATGGGGTGACAGAGAGAAAAAATAGTCATTTATTAGTCACAACTCGAGCTTTTTTTTTTAAGCAAATGTACCTAAATCTTATTGAGAGGTAGCTGCTTTCATTGCCACACACATTATAAATAGGTTACCTTCAAGAGTTTTGGGATTTAAAACTCTTATGGAATTACTTCACAATTTTATCCCAATCTCAATACCACAAACAATTTCACACCTAGGATATTTGGTTGTACATCATTTGTTCATGTCACAGTCATAATAAGGGAAAGTTAGATTTAAGAGCGATTAAGTGTATTTTTGTGAGGTATTCTTCAACTAAAAAAGGATATAAGTTCTATCATCCTCATGCTAAAAAATTTTATGTGTATGCAGATGTCACTTTAAAAAAAATAAATTATTTTTTACTCAACCTTATCTTCAAGGAGAGACTTTATTCATGGAAGATAAGGATAAATACTTCTTTTTGCTTGATTTGCCCCCAACTTTAACATTTACACCACTAATTCTTTTAAGGTCAAAATTGTTTCTGCTGAGCTCAAGTCAAACATTGAATTTGAGTCTGAACCCATTTCAAATACTAAAGATGTGACAAGGATAATATTATTTTTTATTCTATGAAGGAATTACAGGTGTATTCAAAAAGAAAAGTTTCAGATCTTGAACCAGTGCTAGTCTAAGAACCTGATCCTAACTCTGGAAATGAGGTAACTATAGTTTTTGACTTTGTTTCTCAAAATGAGCATGAATCTCTTAAAACTATAACTAGCGATTATGATCTGCTTATTGTCATTAGGAAAGGAATCAGAGAATGTACCAAGCATCCACTATACCCAATTTTTAATTTTGTGTCATTTGAAAATTTTCACCATCTTACAAAAATTTTCTTGTGAGTTTAAATACTATTTTTGTTCCAACTAAATTATCCGAGGCGTTATTCAGTGAGAAATGGAGGCAAGCCATGAAAATAAAAATGGAGGCCTTAAAGAAAAATCAGACATAAGAACTGGTAGAGTTGCCTAAAAGAAAAAATCTAGTGAGGTGTAAATGAGTTTTCACTGTAAAATACAAGACAGATGGTACTGTTGAAAGGTATAAAGCCAGGTTAGTGGCTAAGGGCTACACTTAAACCTATGGAGTGGATTACCAGGAAAACCTTTGCTTTAGTTGTCAATATGAATACAGTTAGGATTTTGTTATCATTGGCTGCAAATTACAATTGACAGCTTTAACAATTTGATGTAAAAATTACTTTTTTACATGGTGATTTGGAAGAAGAAATATATATGAAGGTTCCACCAGGATTTGGAGGTCATCTAAAGCAAACAAAGTATACAAGCTGAAAAAAGCTTTATACGACCTTAAACAGTCTCTTAGAGCTTGGTTCAAGAGATTTGCCAAAGTGACACTAGCAATGGAATATAAACAGAGTCAAGGGGATCACACATTATTTATCAAGCACTCTGATTCAGGGAGAGTCACAGTTCTATTAGTGTATGTTGATGATATAATTGTAACTAGAGATGATGAAAAAGAGAGAATCTTTAAAACAGTGTTTGGCTAGAGAATTTACGATAAAAGAGCTAGGAAGATTAAAGTACTTCCTAAGAATTGAAGTAGCTCACTCACAACATGGTATTTTCATCTCACAAGAAATATGTGATGGATCTTCTGAAAAAATGGGAAGCTTGCATATAAACCTGTAAATACCTCTATAGATATTAATCATAAAATTGGAGAAGCTAATGAAGAAACTGTTATAAACAGAGAGATGTACCAAAGATTAGTTGAAAGACTCATTTATTTCTCATCTACTAACCTGATATAACGTATGCTATGAGTGTGGTAAGTCAATTTATACATAGTGCTAAAGAAGTGTACCTACAGGCTATCTATTGTATATTGCACTATTTGAAGGTCAATCCTGAGAAAGGTATCTTATTCAAAAAAAATTCGGGGTTAGCTCTAAAAGCATATGCATTATGCTGGTTCAGTAACTGATAGAAAATTCACTTCAGGCTACTGTACTTTCTTAGGTAGTAATCTTGTGACTTGGAGGAGTAAAAAATAGAATGTGATGGTAAGATCAAGTGCTGAAGCAGAGTTCAGAGCAATGGCTTAAGGAATTTGTGAACTACTATGATTAAAGATTATCCTAGAAGACTTGAAGATCAAGTGGGATAGACCAATAAGACTTACTGTGATAACAAGTTTACAATAAGCATTGTACACAATCTGTGCAACATGATAGAACAAAACATATTGAAATAGACCGGTATTTCATAAAGGAGAAACTAGACAGTGGGTTGATTTGTACACCTTACGTATCAACCAAGGGTCAACTTACAGATGTGTTGACTAAAAGTCTCAACAGTGCAACATTTCAAGAAATTATTTTCAAGCTGAGAATGAAAAACACTTATTCACCAGCTTGACGGAGAGTATGGGAAAACACTTATTTACAACTGGTTGTAATCTTGTAATCTGTATATTTATATTTGTATCTCTAAAATTAAGTATTTGTATTCCTAAAATTAGGATAAACAATCCTCAATTACAGGATTAGTTTTTTAGGAAGATTTAGTTTCCTAGTTTAACCTGTAGTTAGTTGTATATAAACCTAAGATTCTTGTATAATTTTAAATAAGCAGTTTTTCAATATACATTTAGTTTTCACACTGATTTATTTCTTAGTTTTTCCACATTACCTTTAAAAGTAATAAACTACATATTTGATATATGGTATGTTTTGCATATGGGATAAATTCTACATGTTAATTCCAATTTCTATTAAAATACACATTATTAGTTCAATTATTTGTACAATAGAAAAGGCGGCAAATGTGTGGGTAGGGTTGAATTTAGATCATGTCACTAGGGTCAGGTCATTTCGGATGAAATGGAAGTTAGGTCATTTTCAAGTTCGGGTCATTTTGGAATCATGTCATTTCAGGTTCAGGTCATTCGGGTTTGACACTTGGGTTATTCAGATTTGGGTCATTTTTAGGGTTATTTAGATTTGGATCATTTTTAGGCTCAAGTTATTGACTTTTAAATTCAAACCAAATTAGATCTTGAATGAATTGTTTAGCTAAAGTCAGATTTAATGACTTGTAATTAAATCATTCATAATTGCATTTTTATCAACTTGTAGCATGCCTTCAATTTGATTTTTGATAAAATAAAAATTTTTATTTATGATATATAATTTTTATAAAAAAAAAAAGAATACAATTTTCTTTATGGCGTATAATTGTATAAGTTGAATTTAATTATAATAATAGAAAAATTATTTTTTAATATTTTTTACTCATAAATTCTTACTCATAATTAAGAAAGAAAATCACCAAAGGTTTATAAATATATATAAAGAATTTTAAATGATAACTTAAACTTTAAAGTTATTAAATACTAGTACATTGCTAATTTGTGTTATATTTTTTATTTTAATTAAATTAATATTTTAAAATATATTATGCTTAATTTAAGTTCTTGTTTTGAGTCAGTCCTTAGGGTTGAGTCATTTGGGTTCAAATTGGTCAAGTTCAAATTGTTGACATTATTTGGACAAATCAGGTTTGGACGGGTCGGGCAGGATTTTTGAGTTTGAGTTAGTTTTGGCAACTCTATATGATGTCGTTTTATGTTCAATGTATAATTATTATTTTACAATAGGTAAAAACTAATGACACGTTATGTTTAATATATGATTATTATTGAAAAATTAGTGTTTGCATGTAATGCACATGACATCAAATATTTGTTTCAACTAAAATTTCAAGCAGCTGAATCTTTATTCAATAAAGAATATTTCATAATGACCATTCATTTTTTTGAATCAAAATTGAAGTTTATTGGCTTGATTTCCTCTAAAGAAATATAGAAAGGTTCAGCGACTTAAATACGCATTCAGAAAAATAAGTGGTAGCTAAATGATTCATTACTTCTTTATCTTTGAGGTTGTGAGAGATTAAACCCTAGTCAGTACCAATACTCCAACAAAACACATAGGTGATGGCAAAGACATCAAATACTTGTTTCAACTAAAATTTCAAGCAGTTGAATCTTTATTGAATAAAGAATATTCCATATTGTCCAATCAGTTTTTTGAATCAAAATAGAAGTTTATTGGCTTGATTTCACCACAAAAAAATAAAAGAAAAAAGGTTCAGTGACTTAAATACGCATTTAGAAAAAGAAGTGGTAGCTAAATGATTCATTACTTCTTTATCTTCGGTATTTGAGGTTGCCAGAGATTGAACCCTAGTCAGTGACTACTCCATCACATACGAGATGGCAGAGATGCATTACTCAAATTATTTACTAGTTATAACCATCTGCTTCTTTGTTGATTCAGGTATCCGAGCATGTCTGGATGGGTATATGAACATTGCAATGGAGCAAACAGAATGGGCAGCTGAAAAACAAACATGGAGATGCTTTTATAAGAGGAAATAATGGTAAAATATGTTATTAAAAGCGTTATTTTATTCAATAATATACCATTATCTTAAAATATGGTAATAAATGTAATTTGGTGTGCTATTTCTTTGGTGTAGTACTTACTGTACATCAGTACGACAAAGAGGACCCTTGCCGATGGTGCATAGTGGTGAAAAGCTGTGAATTGTAGCTACAGGAGAATAGCTGCCGTATTGTATTAATCTGGTGGCCTTTAGTCATGACTTCTAATTGGAACAAAGTGGTTGCATAAATTAAATGTGCCTTTACTATGTAAACATGGTAACATGTCAAACAATAGTCTTTGAATCCAATGATGATCCAAGTTCATGAACGTATTGCTTCAACGCTGGAATGATATTCTGTTCAGAGTTGAGATTTAGTTCGTGCAAACAATACAAATATTTTCCATCGATAATTTCCTAGATATTGCCTGGGAACAAACTTTGCTCCCTGTAAGTAAAAATCGGTGGGTGAATTCATTTGTGAATCGGAACATATTTCTCTTGTAAGCTTTAGAAGTAAGAGAAACAGAACCCATCTCTTCGCTGTGAGACGTGCAAATGACTGCCTGTTATCAAGTCTTCGAATCTTCACAGCATAATTTCATACGGAAACTTCAGGAATTTTCTGTTTTTCAGATCTATTTTTTTATTCACTTTTTTCTATTTTCTATTTTCCTTTTTTATTTATCTTTATTAATTTTTTACTAATTTTCCTAGCTTTATATTATATTAAGATTCCTGAAAGTATGCCTAGATTTCCTATTTTAAATAGCTAGAAATCAAGGAATTATTTATTATTTTTGACGTAATCTGATTTTGATTTGATTATCTCTTATTATATTTTCTTATTTAGATATATATATATTTTTTTAATTATAACTTTATCCATATTTAGAACAGACACTCATTTCTATATAATGTATAATTTTCTTGTTAACCAAGTAAGAAAGGGTTTACGCAGAATTTTACATGGTATCAAAAACTTTCCTCTAGTTTTTCTACTGTTTTATTTTGTCCTTAATCGTCCTATACCTTTCTTCCTTCTTTTTCTTGCCCTCATTGCAATCTATTCCTCTGCCAAATAGTTGACCTAAAGATGTCAACAACCTCTTTGCCTATATGCCATTTGTGGCTATGGGTAAACATAGCAACATTGTTTCATTGTCAAATATGAATGACCATCACTTAACTGGTTCAAATAGTGAACTCCATGTATGAGCCCATTCTATCGTCTTGATGAAATAAATTATCTACAATGGAGTCAAATTGTTAGAACCTTTCTCAAGGGACCAATGATAGCCCAAGCTTTGAAGACCCAGGTTCCAAGACAAGGAATGCAGAAGATTCTATGATTATGCCGTGGTTGTGGAACTCAATGAAATAAGAGATTAGTCGGAATGTGATGTTTCTCTCTACTACAAGACACGTATGGGAAACACTCTAATAGACCTTTCCAAAAAAGAAATTGCACTTGTTTATGAGTTAAAGATGTAGGTTATGTCCACTAAGCAAGAAAACATGTCCATCACATACTACTATGACTTGAAAATGAAAAATAGCTATGATATTCAGGTTTATGGTTGGAAATCAATCATTACTATGACTTGAAAATGAAAAATAGCTATGATATTCAGATTTTCTAAGAGTTTAGGAGCATGATAGAGTGTTTGAATTTCTAGCAGGATTGAATGCTAAGTATGATCAAGTTAGAGTACAAATTTTTGGCAAACACCCAATACTTTACCTTTCTATGAAAGTTTTTCTATTGTTTGAGTAGAGGAAAGATGACAAGGAGTTATGTTAGAACCTTATACAACTAAAGCATTGCTATAGTGTCTAGAATGATTGGAGATGGAAGGAATAAAGGAACTATTGGCATTTTCCCTTCAAGTTGAATCATATTTTGGCTAAGACATTGTCATATTTGTAGTACCTTGATATTTGATATCTTATAAATGTTTTATTTATTTATCGTTGAGCTTGGTTACATATATTTTTAATGTTGATGCTTATATGATAAAATTCTCGAAATATAAATAAAGTTTTGTAAGGGTATTACAATGAGATTGTAATTGTGAGATCATCATTGCATTAAAGCTATATGTTTCAAAAGTAGTTCTTAGTCGATACTTTATCAATAAGAGAACATTGACAAAAGCTGTTGACATTAACACATGGTTATGCTCTTACTTATAAAGCAAGCAACTGATCTCATAGGTTAAAGTTTTGGATAAATTTAAGCTAACATATAGGTGTTTGTTACAAGAACAAATTTACTGAACATGACCTGATATGAGATGTTATATAGTAATTCACATAGTGTCTATAGCTACATTATCATATGATGGTTGTATAAGTGATCCTTTGACTTGAGAGTACTTGTAATCTCATATGATAAATGTTAAACTTTGACTTATGGTTTTAACTAAGAATGCTCCAGTCGAGTATTATTGGGTATAACATGAGGCATATAAAAATGCATAAAGTAATCAAGATGGGATTCATCACCTTGTGTGATTAAGAGAGTATCTTAACTAGTTTTGATTGAATTAACTTGATAAATCTTTTGCCAAAATGAAATAAGAGTTTAGAATTATTTTAAAGCTTATTTGTGAGTTTAGAAGATAATGGTTGTTTCAAGTGTATAGCTCCAAAAAGATATAGGAATATTTGAATTGCTCATCATAGATCAAACCATGTCCAACAAAGTTCTATTTCTCTTGTAATTCAAATCATCCCACATCCCACTCTTTTTTTTTTTTTTCTTTCTCTTTTCTTTCAATTTTTTTTTAGTTTTCTTTGTAAATTGGCTAGGGAGACATACTAGCCTAAATTTTTTGTAATTTTTTTTACTTTTAATTAGGATAATAGATTAACCATATACTTATTTTTTAAAGCTCTTTTTTAATACAAGTTTATTTTCATTTAAATCTCTCATTCTCTATTTTTCTCACACAACATTTTTTCTTTACATGCATTCAAATTGTGATTTTATACTCTTTTTACATTCGGCCAACATTCAAACTTTTTATTTTATTTTGTTTATTTTGTATAATATACCTGCCTTCAAAGCTGCTAAGTGATAGTTAGTTAACTTGGCTTTCGACCTATACGTTTATAATTTCCATTGCTTTCACTTTTGTTTTCAACCAATCAACCTTTCAATCTATCTAAATATAGAGGTAAAAAGAATCTCTTTTGGTACTTGGTTTTGCACCCCATACACCATTCTTGTGGAAATGATACTCTATTTACTCACTTTATTACTTAATTGATCTGTACACGTACAAGCTATATAACAAGCAATGATCAAGTTTTTGACACCATTGTCGAAGATTATATTAGTGCAAGAAGACTAATATCATTAACATTTCTTTCAACTTTATAATTAAGAATTTTATTTTTCTGATCTAATGTGTACCTCTCTTTTTTTCCTTTTTGTCTAATTTCAATTGTGTTATGGCTCGAACCTTTAGGTCTATGACAATCCATCTTTGAGTATTTTGACGTTTAACTGCCATTCTAAAATCTTAGACCATGGAACATTAATGAAAGTTATGATGGAAACCCTCTTACTGCCACAGCCTCACAATTAGCTTATTTAGCTGAAAAGGTAGATACTTTTGAAAGAAAGTGTGGTTCAGTCAGTTCAAAGCACATTTTATAATTGACATGGTTATGAGGGAAATACTATAGTGATAGTTGTTAATATGTCCAACAATCTAACTTTTACCTACACTTAAGATGGAGGATTATTCTAGTTATACATAGGGAGCAGTCAAGAGCCCTCATCTATATACACTTAACCTACCTATAAACCCTTCACCACAACACTTTTCTTCATATAACTCACCATTTTTTCCTTAAAAAATGAAACCTTTTTGTTGATGAAACTTTTGTAGAATTCATCGAAATCAAGCCAACCACCTCAAAACCAAATTACCACTTTGAAAAGCCTTAACAAATATGTAAATCCAAGTTAGTTGCAAAAAGTGGAGTGATATTAAAGGATGATCAAAAGAAAGAAAGAGTGGTTTAGTCGATGATAATGATGAAGATCTAATGGATAAGCCCATGGTAGTGAACCTACCCAGTTTTGTGAAAGTACTAGAGGAATGTGTTGAGGAGAAAGATAACTTTGAAATATAGAGAAAGGGTATGAGATTGAGAAAGACCTTCAAGAAAAAAATCCTAAGGAAGAGCAAGATGACGATGAAGAGTAGGTGCCTATTGTGATGCCAACACTTGTTAGGATGGAAGACAAAGAGGTGGTGAAAATGAAAGATCATTTTAAGGCAATGGAAGTAGAATTGGCTCTAGGGTCGGGCATTCTTGAAGAATCTAGCATTAGTTCCATTGAAGTTGAGCTTGAGCCTTACAATCCACATTTGCTAATTTTTTAACCCTATAAAGATCATGATTTGGAAATGAATAAGGTGGAAAAGTCTATTGTTGAGGGTTGTTCAGTTAAAAAAGTGCTTGAATATTTAGAAACACCCTTCATTAAGTATTATGAAAAGAAAGAGGACATATTATCCATTACACTTGCTTTGATTATACCAACCATGGAAGAAGCTTTAGACTTAGTGACTAATGTTATTGTTTCCATGGTTATATCTTTTTCATTGGTATTAAAGCCAATGCCCTCTTACCATAATCTAGCCTACTAAAAACATTGATAGAGATGGAAAGTTTAGCCACAACAATTAAGCACCACTGCTTTTTAGAGCCTAATGTTGATAATGTGGCAACTAGAAAGACCATTAAATTGATGGATGTTAGTGTCAAGTATGAAGTAATGACGTAACCCTTTTTGGGAAGAGGTAGGTCAAGTTTGACCAAAACTAGAGTTGCTTGAGAGGCAACCCAAGTTCGACATTTATTTGTTAGTTTTACATTTCCTTTGTTATTTGTTTTTATTTTGTTTATGATAGATATGCTTTTATCCTTTTGTGTGTTTTTTAGTTGTTTTCTTAGTGATGAAGAGATGCAAAGAGATACCTAATGGAGAATAAAAGTTTTAGCCTTAAAGGAAAGCAAAAATAGGGAATCATTTCTTTCTCCGTAGTTCTTTAATGTTCTGTTTAAAAGATTGTGCAAATTAAATGTGGGGGGAAAGGAAAACTCTTTTGTGCAAATCTGTGTTTTCAAAAATTTTCAAAGATTAATCCTATTTGCTTTGTTTTCAAACTGATTTAGCATGCTATAGTCTTTATGATGCTAAGTTAGTTGATTTTTCATAAGTTAATCAATATTGACTTAAGTATGATATGAAAAAAAGTATGAATGTAGTGAAGTATGGAATGATTTCTTTAGTATGTTTTTTGGTGGATTTTGATTGTGATGTTTGTGCATTTTGATCTTGATCTTTGATATACATTGATTTAAGTGAAAAGTTATATGGATATTAAGTTGAATAAAAATTCAAGAAAAAAGTATAACTTTGGAATTTACCTATTCAACTCTCAAAGAGAAATCCTAGACTGCATTTGATTCAAGAGATGTTTTAGGTATTTTTTGAACAGTTCGAGCCTTTTCAATCCACCTTTAATAAAAGCATCCCTAGTACCTTTATTTTAAGCCTTTAACTATTTCCCTTTTCTTTATTATTATTTTGCCACATTAATAAGTCCAAGCC